CTGCTTACTTAGAATTTACTTACTTTGCTCTTCTTTTTCTCATATCCAAAGGGGAATGCTGAGGTCAGTGACTTCAGATCTTTCTTCCTTTCTAATGTAGCCATGGATTTCCCCTATATGCCGTGTTAGCTGCACCCGCAAAAAAATCACGGTGCTGAGTTCTTAATCTTCACTCAGATCAAAATACTAATTTTCCTCTTAATTTCTTCTTTGATACATGGGTTATTCATTTATTATTATTATTTTTAAAGATTTTATTTATTTATTTGACAGAGAGAGACACAGTGAGAGAGGGAACACAAGCAGGGGGGAGAGTGGGAGAGGGAGAAGCAGGCTTCCCGCCGAGCAGGGAGCCCGATGCGGGGCTCGACCCCAGGAACCCGGGATCATGACCTGAGCCCTAGGCAGGTGCTTAACGACTGAGCCACCCAGGCACCCTGATACATGGGCTATTTAGTTTCCAAATAACGGGAGGATTTTCTAGGTATATTTTTATTGATTTCTAATGTAATACTATTTTGGCCAGAGAATATAATTTGTATGATTTGAATCTTTTAGACCGTTTTCTGGCTCAAAATATGGTCTATGTTGGTAAATGTTCAGTGTGCACTTAAAAATACGTATTTTACTGTTGTTTTCTGTGTCAGTCAGATTACATTGCTTGGGTCGTGTGTGCCCTTACTGAGTTCCCATCTGTCTGGCCGAACGTTGATAGGAGGGTTGTGGTCTGACACATTCTGTTCCAAGTGTTCCAAAGCTCTATAACTGGACATGTAAATTTGTAGGATTCTTATGTCCCCTTAATATGTTTATCCCTTTATCATTTTAAGGAGACCAACTTTATCCCTGGTGGTATTAAGGCTGACCCTGCCCAGTGGTCCACTCGGGGTCCTGTTGGTCATGTGGATTTTTGCTCTGCCTGGTGGAAATAGTAACTGGTCCAGACCCTGGGTGGGCTAGTGGTATTACTCTGTAATTCCTACAAATGGTTTTTTCCCAGCCTCAGGCAGTTTTATCCCATGTGTTTGCCACTCTGTCCTCAGCCGAAGACTGCAGGGGATGTGCTGCTGGTACCATTGCTCTTTCTCTGTGTGGCTCCCCTCCCTGAATCCCACCCTACCGGCTCCAAGTCTCCTGGCTCAGGGAGACCACTGGTGCTCGCCTCGGTCACCCCTCCCTGCCCAGCAGCCCGGAAACCCTCTGTCGGCGGTGAGCAGGGACAGTCCTTGGGCTCACCTCGTTTCCTGTCTCACGGGAACGCTGCCCTGGCTGCCTGATGGTTGGGTCCTGAAAGCTGCTGCCTAAAATATCCGTGTGCATTGTTTAAATGCATGTGCATTGTTCTGCAGACACCCACATTATTGTTTCTCCCTACCGCATAGCGTTCTGTATACCCATCACACTGGGTTTATTCATTCCTCTAAAGGTGAATGATGAGGCCGCCCACTTCTGCTACACAAACAACCCTGCCGCAAACAGCCTGAATGCATTCCCTTGTGGATCAGTTGTGTGTGTTTCCAGAATGTGCCCTCAGGAGACGGCTCACTGGCACCACTTACCAAGCATGACTGCACTACTTTTCAGAGAGGGTCCAGCAGTCTATCTTCCTACCAGCGCCACAAGAGCTTCCCATCACGATCCTCACCTTGACCTGTGGCCCTTCCTCCCTAACTTTTACTATTCTGGTGAATGTCAAGTGGTGCCTCGTGGTCATGTTATTTCCCTTATTATTAGTGAGTTTGGGTGCCCCTCCATACACCTGTCAAAGCTTTGAATTGCCAGTTCGAAACACCTGTTCCTTTACCTGCCTGGTCTCCTTTCTCGTTTTACGGGATTTTGCGACTCGCGGGAAGTATTTGTATATTGTCGGTACTAGTTACTTGTTGGAGGTAGACACTGTAAACATGTGCATCCTTCACTTGTTACCCCTATCTGTAACGCAGAGAAGAAAAGCACGCCCTCCGTAGGACCGTTGTGCAAACTCATGGGATGATACGCATCAAGCATGCGGAACAATACCTGACACAGACTTAACACTCAAAATGTTATTTTAACAATATTATTTCTCAAGAATCCCACCCAAGACACCCAGGAAGTCCGTCTGGGGCTCCTGGGCACATTAAGGTGCCCCACAAATACTGAGACCCATGTGTGCCATTGAAACCCGGACACAGAAAGGCCAGGGAGGGTGGGACTCCCGTGACAATGTGGCAATGGCCTGGGAGCAGTGATCCCACGGGCAGACACCACTCAGGTGACACACGGGGCCGCGGCTCCGAATGTTGGCACTGGGTCTGTGAGACACCACGAGCCATCAGTCGGGGGAACCGGTGTTTGCGTTACAGCTCCCTTCACGGAAATACAGTTGGCCTCTAATTCTGCCAGAGGCGTGTTCTCCACCCCGCTCTGCTCATGAAAGCCCCGTGAGGACAGCTCATTATTTCACCTGACTCCCCCCTCTGGGTTTGAAAACCCCCTCTCTGGCCTGCCTCACTCTCCTTTTTTCCACCTTCCGGATCCCTTTCCCCTTCTCAGGGACATTTGGTCTGTGCCCTGATTCAGGATGCGTGGTCTGCTGAACAGTTTGCTCTCACACTGGGTTTACTAAATAGCTCCCCTTATAAGGGCCACCTTCCAACTCCTCGACTCCTGCTCACATCTTTCCAGATGGATCAGAGCAGAGGTGACAGCTCACCCTCACTTTATCCTTTCCAAACATAACATAGATGTGGGATCCATCAGGTATCTTTTGGATCCATTCCATCCCAGCCAGGAATTGCTCTTTTGGTTGGCATAAAATAGGGGTCCAATTTAAATTTTTCCCCAAGTACAGCTAATTGTTTTAGCACACTGATTGAAAAAATTTTCCTTTCCCAACTGTTCAGCCAGGCCGGCACGCTTGTAAATCATTTCCATACTGTGTCCCACTGGTGAATCTGTCTGTCCCCACATCAACACCAGAACCTTGATTGCTAGTTTTATACTATTTTGACATCTCCTTTCCATCTCTGCCTCCTTCTCGAATGTTCCAGCTATTATTCAGCCTGTGTTCTTCCACACACATTTAGAATCAGTTTGCTAAATTTCTTTCAAAAAGCCCTTCTGGGGTTTTAATGAGAATTTCTTTTGTAGGGCAATTTGGGGAAGAATTGATGTATTTCTGATACTGAACATTCCTATCCACAAATATAGTATATAGTTCTCAATTTATTCGGGTACTCTTGTCTTTCAGTAAAGTTTTATAATTTTTCCTTAATGATCTTTAGAAGGTTTTTTTTTTTAAGATTTTATTTATTTATTTGACAGAGAGAGAGAGAGAGAGAGCAAGAGCAGGAACACAAGCAGGGGGAGTGGGAGAGGGAGAAGCAGGCTTCCTGCAGGGCAGGGAGCCCGATGCAGGGCTCGATCCCAGGACCCCTGGATCATGACCTGAGCCGAAGGCAGATGGTTAACGACTGAGCCACTCAGCCACCCCTAGGCATTCCTGTCTTTTCTATTTGACAGAACTGTACCCTCCCGTGGGTGCTGATATTTAATGCATGTGTAGGGCAGTCTCCACGTGCTCCGGACTCACCCTCCACCTTCCTCTGACTTTTTTGTGCTCCAGAAAGAGGACCTCTGCAAACTGGTCACCTGGTTGGGTTAATGGGAGACACCTGGAGATGTGTGTGTGGGGGAGTATTTATTTCCCCAGGCCCCGCCTCCAGGCCTGGGGTTCAGGGGGGCTTCATTCGTCTGCCTCGGCTAAGCCTTTTGCGGAGGGAGCCTCTTCCCCTGCTCACTGCTGCCTCCCTCACCAAGCCTTGCTCCTTCACTTAACTCTGTTCCTCCTTGTAACTCGTCCATTTATTAAAATTCCTCCAATTATCTTTTGTGAGCATGCCATCTGTTTCTTGCTGGGACCCTGACTGATACAGTAATTGCCACCAGAAGTGGCCCCAGAAAACAGACTCTCAAAATGGGGTTCAGGATTGAGTTGCTCCTCTGTTTGACCAGCACGGGGGTAAAATCCTGCCGGGGGCACTTGAGCGCTAGGCATGTGTCATGCGCCGGCGCGTCCCAGTCTTCAGATTCTCACCAGGGGTGCCACGGGGCGTAGGCAAGCGGAGGGCAGACAGATGGGCGGGCGAGCGGCTGGACTCCCAGGTGCGCTGGCAGATATATACGGTGCCCACACAGACCCGCAGCGGGCCGGCCGCTTGGCACCGCCCTGGCGAGCTGCACAGAGGGCAAGGGCTCGGGTCTTGCGTGTAGGGCCCCCCGCTTAGCAAGCGGGATCGTGAGTGAGCACACACACCACGGGGGGCTGGGTTTCCGCAGGTGGTCATGCAGGTTCAAGGAAGCGGGGTCTGTTCGGATCCGGGCACAGACCGTTCCAAGACGCGGCTCCGTAACTATTCTCGTCTGGACCGAGAGGCCAGGGGAGGGCAGAGCTGCAGCCTCGGGCCAGGGGGCGCGGCGGGTGGGCGCCGCCCGCCGTGGTGGGGGTGGTGGGACCCAGGAGGGTGGGGAGGCCCGGGGGACGAGGGACCGCGCGCGGGGCGGCGCGGGGGCCGCGGCGGCGGGGGCGCCGGAACAGGAGCGCCCCCGTCCCGGCCCCGGGGCCGTCCGTGCCGTGCGCTCGCAGAGCGCTGCAGGGGCCTTGGGGGTGCCGCGCCGCCCGCTCCGCGGGCCACGTGACCGGCACCGGCCGCCGCTGGCGGGCATGCCCACACGACCAGCTCGGGAGCCGTTCCGCAGGGCCGCGGCCCGGGAAGAGCGACTTGCGCAGGCGCCCGCCGGGAGCGCGCGTGCGTGCGTTGCCGGAAGGGGCGGGGCGGGCGCGGCGCCTGCGCAGTGAGCAGCGCGGGGGGCGGGGCCAGCCGTCAGCTGACCGAGGCGGCGGCGGCGGCGGCGGCGGCGGCGGCTTTCGCGGGACAGCAGTCGGCGTCGCAGGCTCCAGCGCCGAGGGTCGCGGTCGCGTTCGCTCCCGGTGGGCGAGGCGGGGGCCGGGCAGCACCATGGCGACCACCGTCAGCACGCAGCGCGGGCCGGTGAGGCTGCGGGCGGGCGGCGGGCGTGGGCTCCGGAGCCTCCGGGGAGGGCCCGACGACGGGCTCCGGGCGGGGCGGCGGCGCGGCGGGGCCGGCCCCGCACCCCGGCTGGGTCCCCCGCACCGAGGAGGGTCCCCTGTGCGCCGGGTGGCGCTCACATGGAGCAGCCCCCCCGGCGGTGCCTCTGTCGTGGAGGACGCTGAGCCCCGGGTGCTGTCTGCCCTCCCCCCGCGCAGAGTAAGGCTCGCTAGCCCCGCTGCGTCCCCGCTCGGGGCCCTTGTCACACCGCCAGTTTTTCGTCTCCGAATGAGAGGGTGGGAACCGAGGACCTGGGAGGGCCCCTCCCAGTTCTCAGTCGGAGGCTCCCGTGTGGACCCCCACACGGTGCGGACCCCCTCACGGTGGCATTGCAGGAGAGCTGGTGTAGACTGGCCCAGGGTGGCCGGGCGGTGAGGTGGCCTCCCAGCAGCCCATTCAGATGCGTCGGGGGCGGGTTGTCACAAACCTGAAGTTTTTAGGAACAGCAGCTCAAGATGCCCAGCAGGGGAACAGTTTGGTCCTTTTGAGCAGGAAAAAAGGTTCCTTTGATGTGATCTCCCAGTCAGCGGCTGGGGGTAAGTTCCCATTCCCAGGGCTTCTCACCCCTGACGCTGGACGTGGTTGGGTCTTGTTTGTGCACACTAGAGGAGGATCTGTTCACAGAACGCTTTTTCTGAGGTTGAAAGGAAGACCCTGGTTTTGTCGGAATTCCCCTTTGGGCACAGGTACTCCTTCTGAGAGCTTTGAAGGGGACCTGACCCACACTTCCTGTCGGACTTGGGTGTGGGAAGGTCCCGGAGCCAGTGGGGAGCGTTCTGGACTCGTCCTGGGGCTTCCAACGCTCCGTCTTCACAGCAAATTACAGCAGGTTCGCTGCCAGCAATTTCTCATGTTTATGCAACTGGCTGATCAAGAGCAAGGGAACCCCAGCGGCTCCTTTCCTTGTCCTCCCACACCCCCCGCCAGGGAGGAGTGGGCTTAACGGTCTGGCAGGACAGCTCCTGCCCTGGCCGGTCATGTGTCCTCAGCCTCCTGGGAACCCAGCGCCCTTGTGCGGGACTTCACTGGAGGCGTGGGACTGCGCGTAAACACGCATGAGGTTGGGCGTGGTGTCTGGTGTGAAGGGAGCACTCTGGAGCTCAGCTCGTCCTGTTACCAGGGGAACACTGAGTTCTGTGACAGCATAAAGCCGAAGCCCCTACAGTCCGGAGGGAGGGAGGGAGCAGGAGCGTCTGAGAGCGTTCACACACGTGGGGCCTGTGTTGTCCCGTGCTGCTTCTCTGTTGACTCCGTGAGTATGGTGTTTCCTGGCACATGTGACCGTGCTGTGGCCTTACGTGTGTCGTTGGTGTGCAGTATGGGTTGCCCTCCTTGACCTGCAAACACGCAGTAATGTCAGGGCTGGGCCGGAGCTGGTGGGGGCTCCCGGAAGGTGTCATCCGGGGCTGGGGTCTTGAGTGCCAGTGCAGGGCAGGGGACGTCTTCCTCAGCCAGTGTTACCGATCATGGTATTTGGGGCAGCACGATACAGTGAACACCCAGGTGTGGTGCCCCCATCAGGATCTCACAGGGCAGCGCAGCAAACAGCCTGCGAGCTGGTGAGCTGCACACTCAGAGCTGTGGGTCTTTTCTTCTTTTTTAAGATCTTATTTATTTGAGAGAGAGTTCGAGAGAAGAGTGCATGAGCAGGGGAGGAGCAGAGGGAGAGGACAAGCAGACTCTGCACTGAGCGTGAAGTCCGATGTGGGGCTCGATCCCACGACCCGGGATCGTGACCTGCGCTGAAACCAGAAGTCAGACGCTCAACCGACTGAGCGCCCCAGGCGCCCCAGAGCTGTGGGTCTTAACTCAAGACTTAGATGTGAAGGTGGCCTGTCACGGGCCGTGGTTGAGGTGGGTAGGGTTCCTGGGGGGAGATGGCACCTAACGTAACACTTGAAGGAGGAGCCCGTGGGGAGGGGCTGGGCCTGGAGGGAGAGAGGGTGGGCTGCTGCTGGAAGGCCAGGGAGGGTGGGTGCCTGTGCCAGTACGAGTAACAGGCATGGCCAGGGTGCTTTTCTAGATGAAAGGCCTGCAGGCAGCAAATGGATTGGGTGCTTTAGTTTTATCTGGTCACTACAGTGTTAACTTTTTAAGAAAGCTTTTTGCCTGGCACACAGCCTCTTCGTGTCCTCTGCTCCCCTCTGGGCTAAGCAGTCCTTGTAAGGACCATGTTGCCATTGTTCGAGTCTGGCGGGCCACTTCCTTTACCCAGGGTGCCCGGACTCCACGGGGTGCTGGGTGCTCTGCAGGCACAGGATGAGGCGAGGTGCTCAGCTATCCCAGCAGGCGGTGGTGAAGGAGCACTGGGCGGGGCTCAGGTGCTGGGTGGTGACTGGGCGGCTCTCCTGAGCATTAGCCCCGAGCCGCTGGGCTGCATCCCTGTGCATGGCACCCAGGGCTCCACTAGGGCTCCAGGGAGCCCAGAGCCTGGACTCACACTTGTGGGACATACTCTGAAGTCTGACCGTCACCCCCCACTTGCCACAAAGGAGTGAAGGCAGCGTCCTTGGGGACGTGAAGGAGGAACGGGAGTCTGCCTGGTAGGGGTGAGGGGGCGTTTCCCATGTCCTCACACAGGGCAGCCTGAGGGGCTGGGTGAGGTGGGCTGAGGATGGGGCAGTGCTGGCTGCTTCCCTCGGTGGGGCTCAGATGGTTCTTAGGCATCTGTCTGTCCAGGCTAGTTCCTTCCCTGAATTGCCACTGAACCATGCCCCAGGCCTATGCTGTTTGCCCCGCTTTTCACGTTGCTAGTATTCTTGTGACAACGTCTATTTTCTGTCCAGGGTTTCTGTCCAGTCCACAGATCGTTCAGAAGCACCTGATGGGCCCCTGCCTTCCTTGTTAGAACTTGGGGAGTTTGTAGGACATGCTGCTTTAAACCACATAGTGCCTGTCAACTCGTGGGGATGGCGATCGAGGCTCAGTCAGGGGTGTCGGAGCCTTTCCAGCCTCCCTCACAGATGTGTGGGTGGGCCCCCTGGAGTTCAGGCTGACCACAGCCACTCGTCCTCCCCCTGGAGGTGCTGATCGGGCAGTGGGTTCAGGCTGAGCGCACCGTCCTCCTCACGATGGCTTTGCCCTCCTGACCTGAGCTGGTCTGCTGGGTGACACTTGGGTGACTTGAGACTGTCCAGGTCCTCGTCAGCCCTGATGATGATGATTGTTCTTGATAGACGACGTAGTAACAACGTTCTTAATTCCATATAAATATAAATAGATATATAAATACACAGATAAATTCAAGTAAGTGGTGAATGTAAATAACTTCGATATTGATAATTATTGCTGGATCAGTGATGACTCTACGGATGGGAAAGGGTGATATTTGTATTTTATGGCTTGTTCTGTTTTTATTAACTGGGACTCTTTGCTAAGATGGCTTTGCAGATGGTCCACTGTCTGTCTGTGCTGAAACACAGTTGTGCAAGAGAGGTCAGGAAATGCTCAGCTCTTGCCCGTTGGTTTCCAGGACTTGGAGGGAAGGCCTGGCTTTCTCTTTAGGCTCGTGCGTGGCAGCGTTTCCTTTCTTGAGCACCGTCGTGAGCCCGTGGGCCTCGTGTGCACACCCTGCCTGCCGTGGCATGCCTGCTCGCCCTACCGGCTGGCCCAGATCCTCCCTGCTGACAGCCCGGGCCTCTCCCTCCGGCCTCTCCGAGCTGGGTGGGGGTGTGTCCAGGGTCGGGGTGCGGTGCCCTTGCTGGCTGCACGGAGCCTTTCTTGTTTGGACCCATGCTAGTGTGGGAGCATCCACCTTGTGTTCGTGTCTTCATTCTTTGACGAGACGTCTTTCTGTCTAAGGTTGGTTTATCGTCAGCATGTCATTAGACCTTTAAGAAGTCAAATCTAAGAAGCGTCTTCGTCTCTTAGCGGGAACACGTTAAGTAATTGTATGTGGTCACGCACATGCGTGCCCTTCCGCTGTTGTCCTCGGTGCTCGGGTCTACCTTTTCTGTGTCCGTGTCTCTCCTTGTGTTCTCTGGGGCGGTTGAATAGTTTCTCAAATTCAGGTGTTCATTCTGTCCTGGTCTGGAAAACACACGGATTTCTGTTCTCTTGGTGGTTATGGTAGAGACTTTCCCACGCAGACTCAGCAGGGTGTAAGTCAGCTGCTGTGTTTGCGCTCCTGCTGAGCTGCGGCCTCGGTGAATCTAGCGGCAAGTGTGCCCTTGCAGGGCCTTCAGCAGGGCAGGCCCCCGCAACGCCAGGGAGGCTCGGGGCTCCTGGCCCACCAGACACCGTCCCGAGGTTGGGGCTCCTTATCCTGTGAGCTGCTGACTTCACCACCTGGCCCTCGGCCCCTCTACAGCTCGTGGCCACATGGGCTTCTCTGTGTCTCTGTTGTCACCTTCCTCTGTCCCTTTCAGCCGTGGTTCCAGTGTGAGTGATGTGGACCGAGAGCCGAGTGATAGCTGTGGACCAAGGAGGCATTTGTGTTGGGGTGTCTCTTTGGACCGTGGTGGCGGCTCCGGAGCCCTGAGTGCCTGTGTTCTCACGGGTGACACCAGCCCCAGAGGGCAGGGCGGGTTCTCAGAGGAGGCAGAGGGAACAGAAGGCCTCGCGGTGGCTGGCGGCCCGCACTGGGGCTCCCCGCTCCTCGCGGCATCGTCATGCCCTGTTTCATTGAGTGTCACGTGGCCATCGGCTTGGTGGGGCACGTGGACACGGGAGCTCTGCCTCGTTCTCGTGTTTGTTTTCATACCACAGGCATTTTCCATCCCGTCACTATGTCGGGGTGCCAAAAAGAACATCCAGCGGGTGGCTAAAAAGTATTTTCTCGTTTCAAGCACAAGTTAAAAGTTCACTAAAAATATTTTCTAAGAAAATTTTCCAGATGTTTTATTGGAAAAGTAACAGTTGAATTAATTTTTAATTCTTGATGACATTGGTACTGTGTTTATATAAATTGCTGATTTGTGTGCGTAATTTGACGCATTATAACTTGTAAGTAAATATGTTCAAGGTTCTCAACAAATACAGATACAAAGCATTAATAGGTTTTCGGTTTTTAACCTAACTTTTAACTTAAAAACTTCATTCCTTTTTTTTTTTTTTAAAGATTTTATTTATTTGTTAGAGTGGATGCACACCAACAGGGTGGAGGGGCAGAGGGAAAAGCCGGGAGCCCAGTCCCAGGCTCCATCCCAGGACCCCAAGATCATGACCTAAACCAGCAGCAGGCACTTAACCAACTGAGCCACCCAGGTGCCCCTAAAAACTTGATCGTAAGCCTGCTTTAACTGAGGAGCGCTGTTTGTATGCAGAGCACGAGTCCGTGGACGGAATGTGGACTGATAGACACTGTCTGCAGACTGTGAGGGTGGCGAGGGGTAGATGGTCCTTGTGGGGAGGGTGACGACAGACAGGCCCAGAGGGCCCCCTGCCCCAGCCGGCGCACGGCTGATAGTCCATTTTGGACTCTGTATCCATCTTGTAAGCATGAGCCAGATGACAGTTTACAATGTCCATTATTTATTTCTGGTCAAGATTAACCATTCTCTCTAGTCCTTGAGCCAGGATAAAGCATGTACTTTGATGTGACCGTTCAGACGTTTCCTCCATTGTTATATTGCAAAAGTAAATTTTAGGATTAGCCCTGAATTTCCGTGTGTCAGTAACGCAGGCGCTCACGACAACCTTCCCTGGCTGGTCTCTGAAGCGGTCGGGCTTGTGTTGGTGTCTGGGCTCGCCTGTCGGGCCTGACTGCGGACTGGTTTCATCTGCAGTGCTGACTGCAGGTGTGGGAGCCCACTCACGTGGACGGACTCTGCCGTGGTTTGAGCAGCGGGCAGACCTGTCTGCCGGCTCCCGGGGCCGCAGGTGCTGCTTGCATATGGCCAGGAGCTTGGTATTTCGTAAGAAGTGGGGCGCTGTTTCCTTTTTCCTTTTTAGTTAAGTTGACATGTTTTCTGACAAACTTCACATGTTAGAGTTACGCAATGGCCGTAACAGTTCGGAGAGCCCTAGCGTCTTTGCACCTCGTGTGAGGTCCTCACTGGGGACGTCAGCAGGGCACGTCTGTCACAACCAGAGAGCTGGCTTCGGTGTGTGACTGCTCGCTCCGGGCTTCATTTGGGTGCCCCGCGTTTGCCTCCCTGTCCGTTCTGTCGCAGGGTTCCAGCCCAGACCCCACAGGGCACAGGGCTGCCACGGACCCTTGGTGGCCTGCTCTCTGGGACCGTCTCAGACTTTCCTTGTTTTGGGGTCTGCTGGGCAGGGATTTTGTAGCCTGTCCCTTGGGTGGGAAGAAGCCTCTGGGATGTGGTGCCCTCCTTGCGGCTTTTCAGGAACCCGGCATCCCCCAGCCTGTCAGTGCTGGCGTCGGCCGGGGGGCTCAGCTGCCGTCCCCTTCCCGTGTTTTGTTTGCACTCTTAATTTATGTTGTAAAGATCCTCAGTTCACATTTATAGTTTTATATTAAAGCGTGGTTGAAAACACTAGATGTTTGACTTTTTTTTTTTTTTTTTGTAAAGGTTTACTTGCTCAAAAGAGCACACGCAAGCGCCGGGGGGAGGGGTAGAGGGAGAGTGAGTCCCAAGCAGACTCCCCTCTGAGCAGGGAGCCCATCATGGAGTTCGATCCCAGGACCCTGAGATCGTGGCCTGTGCCGAGATCAAGAGTCGGACGCTCAACCGACTGAGCCACCCAGGCGCCCCGATCTCTGACCTTTGTTACAATTTTATTTCCCCCCATTAAAAAGGAGTGTGTTCTTCTTGAAGAAACCCAGACGAGTACAGTAGAAAGGAAACGTGGTTCTGCAAGTCCCATTCAGATGATGGGATGATGGGAAACAGAAATAATGATCCCCATGCCTGAGCACACCCTGTTACCACTGTCGCTGCAGACATATGCCTGGCCATCCCCGGCGTGCCCCCCCAAGGGCATGGCCCATTCCCTGCTGGATCCTCAGAGCTGCCGTGTGTGATATGGGGTGAGCGGTTATTTTTCAGAGTAAATGAGAATCTGGTTGGCATGAGTCTGTGTCTGCCAGATTGTGTTCACAGGAGCGGGCAGAGCTCACCACGGCCCCTGCAGGTGGAGGCTGGGAGGCTCAAGGCCGGCTGACAAGGCAGCATCCGGCCCCGTGTCCGCTGGGAAGAGCGCTGGCTGGGAGTGTGGCTCCCGGTTGCCCACAGCAACTGGCGATGGGTGTTGGTCTGGTAGCTGCCAGGCCAGCTGCAGCATCTCAGCTGTGATGGAGGGTGTGCGGCCTTCTTTCCAGGGCAAGCCCTGGGCCCTGCTGGTGAGCCACGTGGCACAACGGGGGAAGGGCACCTGCGAGGCCCCTTGGGAGGCAGTGCACTCCTCACCTGGCAACCCTGGGCCTCTCGGGCACCGCTGCTTTTCCTTCCGTCTGTAATGAGTGCTCGGGTCCCCTGTGGGCCCACCGGGGCCACCCACCCCAGACCGAGAAGGTGTAAATTGCTGTCCTCTTCAGGTGCCTGAGTCGGCCCGGTGTGGGGTACAGCCGGGAGAAGGGTGCTCTTGCTCTGCAGAGGAAGCAGTTGGAGCACCAAGCTGGTGGGTGCTGGCCAGGTGGGAGTGGCCAGGGCGGAGCCCCTGACCCCAGGGTCTTGAGTGGCTTTCCATCGGTTTCAGTGCCTGGTTTGGGTGATCTCCAGGCCCGGGATGGGGACATGGAATCTAGACCTTTCTAGGGATGTTTGAAATGAAACAGCACAAGGCGCCTGGAGAGAAATGCTTTCCCATTGGTGCTTATGACCTCAGCGGGTGCGGAACCCTCTGGAATCCTGCCAGATCCATGTCATCTGGAAGGCCAGAACTTGAGCAATAGAGGCCTTAGGATATTTGGTGCGTGGACATCTGAGGTGGTCCCCGGTGGTTGCTGTCAGGAAATGCAGTTTGCCACAACTCCCTGTGACACAGGGTTATCCTTTTGGCATTTCTTGAAAATAACACTTCTTCAAGGCTCTCAGCCTTGTGATGTCTCCTTGGGGCGGCCAAGGAGGACCTGGGGACCCCTGCAGGCGGGCCCTGGGCTGTAGCTCTGCTGCTCCCTCCCACGGGGATCTGTGGCCCGGGGGCTGCGCACCCTGAACCCACCCTGCCCTGAGAAGAGCGGACTGCAGGCTGCCTGGGCGTCCGACACCTGGCGGGCCGTGCTCTGCTCATCTCTGCAGGGGAAGCCTTGTCCACGGCCACTGCCACATGTGGCAGCCAACTCCCGCTGCCTCTTCCTGGAAGACGCTTCTGGGAGCCCTTGGGGCCTCTGCACAGTCGACTGTCCTGCGTGTCCCTGGCCCCGTCTCTGGGAGGCCAGGCAGCCTTGTGGACAAGGAATTCGGCAAGAGGCAGAAGGGGGCTGTTTGGGGCTTTGTGGGGTCTTCTGGGCTGTTGTTGCATTTGAGCTGTGTCAGCATTGGGGGTGGGGGGTTCCGTACAACTGGAAATCCAAGCTTCCGATTTTGTCTCACTGCTTGGTTTCAACCAGTGCCTTGCAGTCCGCAGGGAAAGCCGATGACGGACACGTAGGCAGAGGGTGTGTGACACCTGACCACGGCCCAAGAGACCGTCGAGGAGCCGTTCTGAGCATGAGAACCTGCGGTCAGGGCCTGAGCAGAGGCCCGTGCGTGTTTCCGTGTCCACCAGGAGTGGGCTCCATGCTGGAGGGAAGTGTGGTGGCTCGAGGCACTCAGGCTGGAGACCCTGGACCCAGTGGGCCCCTTGCTTTGTAGATGACACCCTGAGCTCCCGCCACACTAACGCACATGCTCGCCCCAAAGGTGTACGTCGGTGAGCTCCCGCAGGACTTCCTCCGCATCACGCCCACGGCCACGCAGCAGCAGGTGCAGCTGGATGTGCAGGCGGCCCAGCGGCTGCAGTATGGAGCGGCGGCGAGCACAGTGGGCCGCCTCAGCATCACCGTGGTGCAGGTGGGTGTCGGGGCCTGCTCGGGGTGGGGGCGGCCCTGCATGCGGTTGCTCTGTGGGCCGTGGCTGTCAGGCCGCATTTTTCTGTGTGGACAAATGGTTTTTGTGATTCGTTTTTCTTGAAACATAATGAAGTAAGTGAGGTACTGAGAATGACCCAGGCTTCTACCAGAAAAGCAGAAAGAGCCAGTGAGCGGTGTGCCGGGCACCACCCCTTCATGCCAGTGCCTCTCCCGAGGGGCACAAAGGGAGGCCCTGGCTGCTGAATGGACCGCAGGAAAGCCAAAGGCGTGGTCAGGATCTAACGTGGCTTTGGTCACCACAGCTTTCTGTGAAACCAAGAAGAAAGGGGAGTCACTGGGAGGCAGAGTCACAGTCGGGCCTTGCGAATACTGTGGGTTTTAAGGGGACTGCAGCCCAGACACCTGGCCACACTCGTGGGGCTGATAGGGTCACTCAGATACTCACGTGCTTCTGAAAGTCCGACTTCTCATGCGCCCACACGAGCGCCCGGTCCGCACCCTCCACACCATCCTCCCAGCCCCGTTTTGCCTTTTGGGCCTCTCAGCGTGGCCCATGGCCCTTTGTGATAAGCCTTTCTCCCCTCGGTCTGCGGGGGGCCCCACCGTGCTTCCTGGCCTCCCTCCCTGGGGTGTGTCCCCGGTGGTTCCTGCTGATGGAGCGGAGCGCTCTGTGGTCAGGGCCCTGGCTCCCCTCTCCCCTCCCTGCCCCCACGCCCAGGCTAGCCGTCCACTCAGCTGCAGATGGGAGCATCCACACCATAGCCCATGGGGCCTCTTTCTGGGTGTCCAGTAGGCGTGTTGTCTGCTTCCCGCATGCAGGGTGCAGGTCCTTCGCGTGATCAGGACAGGGCTGGTTTGGTTTGGGCTTGTTGCGGTTTTCCTTTGTGTGGAGCCATCTCGTTTCTCCTGCGGGCCTTCGCCCACGTTCTACTGGGCTGTGTTCTCGTCGCTGAGATTTGAGAGGCCCCTCTGTCCTGGGCCTGGCGCTCTGTCACACATGCACCTGCCCGTGTGCCTCTCTCTTGGTGGATGCGTGCAGGTCCGTGTTGGTGCTGGCAGGCGGCAGCGCACCGCGCTCCTTGCCAGGGCCGTGGTGGCGCTGTCCTACCCAGGTGTCTCCACGTTGAAGTTATGTGGTTTTTGGTTTTATGTTCCAGTGTGTGATACGCTTGGAAGGATGTTTGCTGACCGATACCCTAGGCAGCCAAAGCCTTCCCTCTTCATCAGTCCCTGTGCTTTTTTCCCCTGCAAAGGCAGCCTGTCTGGCTGAAGGTTGGGCTCCTCAGGATCCATAACCTGCAGTAGCGGACAGAGAACAGAAAGGGGAGCCAGGCGGTGGCTGGGTGCCCTGAACTCACCACCCTGCTGCTCCAGGCTGGCTCTCGAGCCCCGTGTCCCGGGTGGCTCTCGGCTCTGGCCCAGGACAGCCTGCCTGTCACCCTCCTCTGCAGCCTCTTCTGAGGGGGACGCTGGAGAAGGAGCTGCCCCACACGGCACAGCGGCTCCCTTGACTTGAGCTGGGACCTTCGGCACCTGGTGCCCAGGAACAGTTTTTGGCTGTGTCCTGTTCCCCGGAAAACCCTGGGGTTGATGACTCGAAGAGGGTGGACAACTTAGGTGAGCGTGTGTCTTTCACTCTGACGGCAGCTGCTCATTCAGTAACAAGGGCTGTATTTCAGGCCAAGTTGGCGAAAAATTATGGCATGACCCGCATGGACCCGTACTGCCGACTGCGCCTCGGCTATGCGGTCTACGAGACACCCACTGCCCACAACGGTGCCAAGAATCCTCGCTGGAATAAAGTCATCCAGTGCACGGTGCCCCCGGGCGTGGATTCCTTCTACCTGGAGATCTTCGACGAGGTGAGAGGGCCGCCCACCATCACAGGCCCAGCGGGTGCAGGCCGCGCATGGCCACACCGGAGCCACAGCTGCCCTGTCTTCCACCACTGAGGCTGTCCAGGAGCTGCAGGCGTGCCCAGACACAGAGTGTGTCGTTGCTTTGTGACGGGTGTGCTGGTGTCCCCAGCAGCAGTGAAAAGTACACAGTCTCATGCAGATCCTTTCACCCGTTAGATTCAGAAACAGCATCAGCAGGGATGGGAACACCGGGCACTCCAAGGAGACAGTGTTGACTGCACTCCTTCCCCAAGCCCCAAACACATCCCCAAACCAAGGGCACATGGAGGCCAGCTCTTACAACCAGGTTGGACGTAAAGTGGGTCAGACCCCACACTGGGTGGAACGGGGTTCTTGGGCAAGTTGCCAGCCCCCCAAGTGTCCCTGGGGGGGTCAGATAGATGCGGTGGGGCTCTTGCTGAGCATGGTCCTCTGGGCACCTGTGTGGGGCAGCCCAGTCCTCCGTGGCTGTCCAGGGAGCCCCAGGGGATCAGTTGGCAGGATGAGAGGTCAGAGCGCTGGGCGTTGGGCAGCAGGGCCTGGAGGTGACCCCCCCCCCCCGGTGCAGTGCCCTCTGCCCTCCCTCTTTCCTAGGTTTCTCCCTCCTACTCTTCCGTTACTCAGCACAGGGGTAGAAGGGAGGGCCTGCCTAGCAGGGAAAGGGCCTCCTTCCCTCCATCCATGCCCATTAGGCTTTGGACTTGCAAGGGGTCCCGAGAGGGTGGGCAGAGGCCAGACCACACTTGTCCAGATGCTGACTGAGGCCCCCTGGCCTCATGGGGATGAGGGTGGTGGGGGAGCCAGACCTTGGGGGGGTGGGGGGTAAGTCTTGGAGGTGGTGGCCCCTTGGGGGCAGGGGGAGGGTGGGGGTGTGGGCGGGGGTCTCGGGGCAGGGATGATGGGTGGGGCTGAGGGGCTGTGAGGGCACCGGTGGGGAAGTGGGGCATGGGGCCGGAGGGGGGCGGCAGGGGCAGGGCCTCAAGGCCGGGCCTCGCGGTGACGGCGGCACCTGGGCCCCCATCTCCCTCAGCGGGCCTTCTCCATGGATGACCGCATCGCCTGGACGCACGTCACCATCCCCGAGTCCCTGAAGCAGGGCAAGGTGGAGGACGAGTGGTACAGCCTCAGTGGCCGGCAGGGCGACGACAAGGAGGGCATGATCAACCTGGTCATGTCCTACACGGTGAGCGCGGGCAGGGGGCTGGTCACGTCCTACACGGTGAGCGCGGGCAGGGCCCGGCCGAGC